CAGCCATGAATAAAATGGGCTTAACACGCAAAAAACGACCAGACAAAGATATAGGGATTGTGTCATGTAGCTTTGTGTAGTCATTACCCCTAGTTGTTCTTCATGTTTGGAGCCAATCCCTATATGCGAAATATTTCCCACTTGTATATATAGGTTACACTAGCCTACGAGCCGTTTAGTGGACATACACTACGAGTGCGCAGCACTAAACCTTGGAGTGGGCATGTTAATGTTGCATACCTTTCGTCGTATAATGCAGGTAGTAAGGAATGTGGTACAGCTGTTGCTGCATGCTGGGTATGAAAAAAAACATTAGTCACGAATACACTTCATAGCCAATGAATGAAAATGGATATTAAACAGCTTAACACGCAAAAAATGATCAGACAAAGATATAGGGATGGTGTCATGTAGCTTTGTGTAGTCATTACCCCTAGTTGTTCTTCATGTTTGGAGCCAATCCCTATATGCGAAATAATTTTCCCACTTGTATATATAGGTTACACTATGCCTACGAGCCGGTTTAGTGGACATACACTACGAGTGCGCAGCACTAAACCTTGGAGTGGGCATGTTAATGTTGCATACCTTTCGTCGTATAAATGCAGGTAGTAAGGAATGTGGTACAGCTGTTGCTGCAGGCTGGGTATGAAAAAAAAACATTATTCACGAATACAATTCATAGCCAATGAATGAAAATGGATATTAAACAGCTTAACACGCAAAAAATGATCAGACAAAGATATAGGGATGGTGTCATGTAGCTTTGTGTGTCTTAGCTTCGTGTCATTCTCAACTAAAACCTGGGACCTGAAAATGGACTGGCTGTAGAAATTACCTTGTTCACTCGTAAAATGGTTCCAGAGGCAGAAGGGTGCGGAGAAATGGCTCCAGACAAACTAGGGAAGGCTCCAGCCTCTCTGTATCTGTAGGGAATTATGACATAATCCAAACCTCCGACAGAGCCTATCATTGACTTACACTGGCAGTTTCACTAGCTCAGTCATGGGAGGACCGTCTCTCATTGGACAAGACTCCACGTGATGGTGAAAGGCAGCCAGCTCTCCCTGCCAGCCACACCCCTTGTCCTCGTGGCGACAGAACACACGCAGCGAGTTCACTTGACGCTGGAAACGTTTATTTAAAACTGTGCTCCAATCCTCCTCCTTGCACAGCGGACATGCCCCTCCCTCTCTCTGTATTCTGCTGGCAGCTTCCTCTGAGATATGATTACCACAGCATGATGTGAGGTGAGGATGGAGCAGAACACCCATTGTCACTGGACAGAAGAAGTCATCTGATGGCTCCTCAACAAATGGATAGTCCTCATCCACTGACGACACTTGGCCTGGCTCCTTGCTAAAAGAGTGCAGTTTTAAATCTTTACCAAAGATGGACCAAAACGTTTTACTACCTTTTGTTGGCAGAATTAGACTTAGCAATTGCCGAGCTGTCACTGGTTGAGGATGGAGCCACCTGCATAGAGAAAAGACTCTGATGTCTGGTTGATAATGCATAGTAGGACCACACAATGCAATGCAAAGTCACAGAACATTGTGAACATACTATGACGCAAATCGTTCGGCCATTCGCGACGTGTGAAGAAAAAAACCTTTTTTGGTTATCTGCTCGTTGCAAAACTTTGTGTCACAGGCTCAAGCGAAGTATTGTGAACCAGGCTCAAGACAATGACAGCCTACTTACTGGTCTCTGATGAAGGATTTGGTAGACACAAATCTGTGTTGAGGTGTGGATGTCTAGTCTAGTGACACTGAACTCCTTGAAGACAGCTAATGCTCTCTTCTTCCTCAACATCTCCACCACTGAGACAGGTACGAACCAAGTGACGGTGAAAGATCCAGTCCCAATGCTGTTTAACATCATGGCACATGTCTGAAGGTCGTAGCTGCTGGCATATCGTCTCCTGAACTTCTCCACGTCCTCCAGTGTTGCAGTTCGGGGCCAGTCAAACTTGACTACCATCTTCCTGAAGCCAGGTGGAGGATCTTCATCGAGCGGCCGAGGGTCAGCCTCACAGAACAGAACCAATGTCGTACGCTTTTTAAACTCTTCCAGATCCTTCTTGTAGGCGGTCATCTCACTAGCAGTCGTGTTGAAATCCTCATGTTTCTTAGTCAGTTCTCCGATCAGGTGGTCGAGCAGATCAGGTGCGAGGTAGTTCCAGTAGAAGTTGAGAGATCCAAACAGCTCAAGATGGTCTTCGCACTGTCGAAGAGCCTTGTGATTCTCTTTCAGAAATATCGATGCTCGTGTGTCCGAATGTTGGTGAGAATGTAGACAACCGTTAGGACGGCAACACCGATCTTCTGTAGGCCTTGGATTGCAAGGTCCTTTAGAGCGTTGAACCTCTCGTGAAGGCTTTTGATTTCAGTCTCCACCGCCGTAACTATTAGATGAGTTACACATACAACTACAACCCAAGGTACAGTTTACTCTCACTATTAGCAGGGTTCAGTTGAGGTGGTGGCTCAGACTTGGCCTCATCATCATCATCATCAGCAGTAGTGTTGGCTGCAGACTCTTTGGTGTCTGAGAGAATAACTAAAAACCAGTAAGAGAGCTACATACATGTATGATGGAGCTGATGGTAACATACCAGTAGTAGTCTCAGGTACCACATCACGTGTTGCGGTAGAGTCAGGCAAATGAGTTGCTTCCACCCTCGCAGCTAATGGTGGTAGATTGACAGAAGGACTCCTGAGAGCTTCCACAATGACCCTCCATGTCGGTCTGGGCTGGATTTGATTCGTGAAGGCAAGAAGAATGTGCAGCAGACGCTCTTTGGGATCCTGGTATTGGCGGTGAATCGCCTCCACCTCGTGTGGCGGCAGTAGCTGGAGCCCGAGCACTTTGGAGTGGTTCTGCGCCTCCACAAGCTCGCCAGCTCTAGATTGAGACGGATTAGCTACTACCGCTAACTAACTCACTGCACCATTATTTTCGTTTCTAACTCTCACTCTAAATAATAACGAAAATTACAAAATTACTTAACAGTGTGCGAGTAGTGATACATAACAAACCGCAACATATCGCGGACCTAAGACCGAACGGTCTTAATGATAGTA